TTGCCACAAATTACTAATATAAAAAATAAAAGAGGGAACATAATTATATATCTCATGGTTAAAAGAATAACAAAGGAATATTATGAACAACTTTATGCCCACTATTTTGATAATCTAGATGAAATGGACCAATTCCTTGAAAAACACAATCTGCCAAACTCACACAAGAAGAAAGAGACAATCTGTATAGGCATATATCTTTTAAATAAATTGAATCAATAATTAATATTCCTCCAATTCAGAAATCAGTAGGTCCAGATAGATTCACTAGTGAATTCTACCAAGCAGTTAAAGTAGAGTTTCTACCAATTTGCTATAATCTCTTCCAGAAGATAGAAGCAGAGGGAATGCTTCCTAACTAACTCATTCTATGAGGCCAGCATTAACATAATACCAAAACTAGTCAGACATTATAGACCAATATTTCTCATAAACATAGATCTAAAAATCTTCAACAATATATTAGCAAATCAAATCCAACAATGTTTAAAGAGGATTATATACCATGACCAAGTGGGATTTATCTCAGATATGTAAGGTTGATTCAAAACTTGAAAGTCAATTAATTTAATTCATCACATCAATGGGACAGATAAGAAAATCACATGATCATATCAATAGATGCAAAAATTTATTTGACATAATCCAATGCCAATTCCTGATAAAAACTCTCAGTAAACTAGAATTAAAAAGGAACTTCCTCAACTTGATAAAGACATCTATAAAATCCCCATAACTAACATAGGTAAGGCTGAGAAAGTCAAAGTTTTCTTGCTAACATCAGGAATAGAGCAAGGCTTTCCTCTTTCATCACTCCTTTTCAACATTATACAGAAAGTCCTAGATAATGAAATACGATAAGAAAAGGAAATGAAAGGCATATAAATTGGGAGGGAAAAACTATAGGAATCTTTATTCACATGACATTATCATTTATGTAAAACCCTGAAGGATAATCATAAAACTCCTGGAAATTAGTGATAATGGCAAATTTGCAGGATACAAAATTAATATACAAAAGTCAGTTGCTTTCTATACACAAGTAATGAATGAGTGGAATTTGAAATTAAAAACACATTACCATTTATATTAGCATACCCCCAAATGAAATACTGAGGTATAAATCTAAGAAAATATACACAAGATCTAGATGAGGAAAACTACAAAACTCTGATGAATGAAATAAAAAAAAAATTAAATAAATGGAGTGATATTCCATGTTCACTGATAGGGAGACTCAATATTATCAAAATGCACGATCTTCCCAACTTTATAGAGTTAATGCCATCCCAATCAAAATCCCAGAAAGTTATTTTGTGGATCTAATAAACTGATTCTAAAATTTATATAGAGATGCAGAAGACCCGAATAGTCAACACAACATTGAAGGATCAGAACAAAGTCAAAGAACTGACAGTAGTCAGCTTCCATGACTTTGGCTTGTCACTGACTTAAAAGACTAAGGCTGTATAACATGAACACTTACAGTTTCCGACTCTTTGCTAAATGGTTCTTTTTAACTTCACTTCTCTTTAACGTCACTTATCTTCTTTCCTCCTGTCTTCAACCAAAACATGCTTCTCTACAGTGCAAAGGCAAATCCCTCCATGTAGCCATCCTCTTAGACAGGTGTTCTTACTTTCTCTTTTCCACCACCAACACTGGTGCTCTCATAGCTTCTCACTTCAGTACTCACCCCTTTGATAACCTTTTGCAGTTGAACTTCTATACTCACTCCTCTATACCAAATGACTCTTTTAAATAAGGGTTCTCACCCTTGGACAGGCATGCACCAGCACTACCTGGAAGGTGTGACAGAGCAAGACCACAGTCCCCACCCCCAGAGTTTTTTATTCAGTAGGGCTGGGTGCAGCTCAATAATATGCATTTCTCACAAGTTCTCAAGTGATGCAGAGTGGGTACAGGCACCACACTTTGAGAACCACTACTCTTGAAGATGATCAAAGACCACCTAGTAGGAAAACGGATTAGGATTTTCTGAGTCATCAAACTCTTTCATTGCTTTGGTGCTCAAGATTCATAACCTCCATCATCTTGCTCCAATCTGGTTTCCCATCTCATCCTTTATGCATCCCCACACCTGACTGAAACAGTAATTGTTTTCTGTCATCCTTCATGTCTTGTGATATTCTCTCTGCTTATAGTACTCTTCTTCACCCACCTCTGCTTGTTAAAATACACAAATCAAGCCTGTCTCATTCTAATGCCACTTCTGTGGAAAATTTTCCTGAATAGGCCAACTATCAGCCAACTGATGCTAACTGCTTCCTCCTCTGTATTATCTTAGCATTTTACTCATTACTCAAGGATATAACAAAGGTCTTTTGGGAGCCTAAAGCTTATGTAATTTGGAGGGGGAATTTTCTTTAAGAATAAAAATTATAAATGCAAAATTAGGCATGGGGCCTTGGAAGGGGCTCAGGCAAGTGAAGTTCTCTGAAACTTATAACTTAAGCTTTGTTAGTTTCACAATAAATCTGCCTCAGTCCTTACTGGACCTCATACTTCTTTTAGATTGTCATCTTTTGGGACAAATTCATTCTCTCTCTCTCTCAGGACAAATTTGTTCTCCCTCTCTCTCTTTTTCTCTCTCTCTTCCTCTCTCTCTTTCTCCCCTATCCCCATCTCCTTATTCTACTCCTTCTTTTTCTTCTTTTAAGAGAAGCAGTGGCAACTTGTGTTAAAAACAAAACAAAAACTTTCAAGCCAGATAGACCTGGATTTAAGATCCCTGCTACCTCAGTCACTTAATTGAACTTCAGTTTCTTCCATTGTGCACAAAAAGGGTAACAATATCTATCTTTTGAGTTATAATAAGATCAAATGTGATAGCAAATAAAGATCTTTAAACAGTGATTAGGGCATGATAAGCACCCAATAAACATTAGTTTCTCCCTTTGGATGGCAAGATCCATAGCTTCGTGTGAGAACTTTTTAATTCCCTCACACCTAGACAACACCATGCAAATAATACTTATGGAACACATATGGCCTGATTGCTATATTCAGGTTCAGGGAAAATGAAATGTCTGAGCATATTGTTTCTTCCTCATTTTACAGCATCTCTGACTACTACTCTTACATCAGGGAAACTGTGCACAGAAATGAGGACTCTGAAAATTCTGTCACTCTACTAGAACTTGGTTGAATTTAATTGAGTGGACAAGTGAGCACTGGTAAAGCCAAGGGATGGGAGGGGGTCAGGAGGAAGGAAATCGACTCATTTACCACAGCTTTTCACCCTGGTTTATATCAAACTATTTGTTGCTATTGTTTAAATAATAAAATTTGGTAATAGCACTTTAAGCATCCATCCTGGTGACTCCAAGGACACTGAGCTGCTGATTGCATTCTCTGATGTATAAAGCAAAAGAAAGTAAATAATTACGTTTTTCTCAATGCAAGGGAGAAGCAAAGGTGAATAATTAATTTTACACAGTTCCAAAGCATAACTTTAACATTTCTCCAAGTTCAGTAATGAAGCAACAGTGTCAAAAATCTCAGAGATTTCATGAGGCCTTTGATATAAAACAAATACCCATAAACAATCTCATTCTAATACCAGGGGTAAATTCAACCTAAAAAGCTAAAGTATTTCCATCTATCTCCACTTAAAGTTATTTTCTATCTCCCAGCTGGGTGTGGCTCAGCGGTTAAGCATCGACCTAGGATCCAGGTGATCAGGGTTCGATTCCCGGTCAGGGCACATGCCCGGGTTGCCGGCTGCAGCCGATCAATGACTCTCTCATCATTCTATCTCTCTCTCTCCCTCTCCTTTCCTCTCTCTGAAATCAATAAAGATATTTTTTTTAAAAAAAATTGTTTTCTATCAAAAAAACACACACAAAACCTAATTATTTATAATATAAAGTATAATATAAAGCTAATTTTAGTAGCATGTGAATTTATTTATCCTAACTATAAGATTAAAAAGGTGAGTTGAAATTTCCAGTGTGCCATTTTAAGCCATTTAGCATGGTATGCAGGGGCTTTTTGCTCATTCTGCACTTTTTTTTAACTGAACTTTATCCAGTGCATTAAATTATCAAATATTCCTAGACCTATGGACAAAAGCAAGTGATAACAGTCTCCTCCTATTAGTGATAGTGATGGTGGCCTAATAAACTTTCCTGACCATTATCTCAATAGTTTAAAAATCTCTGAAATTAAACCACAAAGACATTTGGTTTTCATAAGGCCTGGCTTTCTTGTATTCTATCAATTTTTTTTAAAAAAAAGATAATCAAAACAATATAATATGCCTGTGTAGAATTATGGAGTGGCCCAGAATATGGGATTTGAAGACAATATTAAACCACATTTATAGAACATGAAATATAGAAAGAATGACCATCTCTTTCTCCAAAAATCAAAATATTTGAGTGTTTTCTATGTGTTCAGCCCAGTGCTGGGATCCATAAGGTATGCTTCAAAATAATGCCTGGTTATTGTTGCTTATTAAATAATAAAATGTGCTTAGTAAATTACTGGGGAAAAATTAATCCATAACTTGATGAAAACTCCAAATAAACAAACGGGAGAAAGCATTAAAAAAAAAAAAGTACCACTTCTTTGACAGTGTAAATCAGGTAAAATTTAAGAAGACATTAGATGGAATCAACAACAAAATATTTCTCTTATAGAATATGAAAGACAGTTTCAAGATACAAAACCTAAAACATTATAAATCTTGGTTTATCTAATGACTTCTTTAGCTAGTAACTTAGAATCAATTAGATATTCTGCAAGTAGGATCATATTTAAGTTCACCTATTATATATATTCAGGACTCTGCAAACTAAATTTCATATGAAAAAAATGACTCCATATAATAATAACTTGAAATATGTATGTTCAATATAGACCCTAGTCTACAATAATGGTGTTACAAATGTGTTCTATGAACACATCACTCTAGGCTACTGAGATTCACTTACTGAATCCAGGTCTAAAAAGAGTAAGCAATGCTGAAATCTCACCCTCTGGCCGGGACTTATTGAGAAGGAAATGTTCTCTAATATGGCAGTCCCACTGTCTATATATTTTGCTGTAAGGTCTTTGACGGTCATTTGGCCCCCTGAGGGCCAGATGTCATCTTTCTTCAAGTGCTGATTCTCAATAATCATAACTTTCGAGAGCTGGCTGTCCGTGGATGGTTTGCTTGACATGGTAGATTTACTTTCTTCTGTTTGCATGTCTATAAACTTAAAGACTCGGCTCACAGATCGCATCTGAAATGAAAATAACAATATTTTATTTTTGTTTGTTTTAGAGGTGCAGGCAATGTCATAATTAGTTTGATGTTTTCTAAAAAATAACTTGTAGGATGTAACACTAGCTAGTCATCACTTGGTTATTTGTCAGAAGGTTTTTCAATGAACTCACAGGAAATAATTGGATATAATTAGAAGCTTAACCAAAGAGATTTAACTAGGACCTATATAAATGGTCTTTGGATAGACCTGTTTATTTTTCTGATTACTTAATTCTCAGTTATGCAAGTTACACATAAATAGTCAAGCTATACTCAAGGGAATTGATAATGTCAAGGAGAAAATTTTTTTTCTACTATGAGCAGCACTGCACAATGTTGTACAACTGGTATATTATAATAAAATCTTCCACACCTCAAAACTACCATGGAAGATTCTTGCCTTTCTCTTGAATTGCCTTAATAGCTCTCTATAATTCTATATGGCAAAAAGGTGGTAAATGAACTCTTGATGCTTAGTAAATACTGAATAACTTCACAATATTCTTCAAACAAATTTAAGTCATTGGCACACATCTGTAGTTAAATAATTATATTTTAATCATTTTAAAGATTAATTCCATTACTGAGCAAAATATGACTGTGTATAATAGTTGTATTTGAAATTAAATATGCATCTGCTTTATAAACGTATTCATATAACATTTAATAATGTAGATCTTTAATGTACATAGAAATAAAAGAGTTCAAACTCTGAACAATTATAGTTTATTGGAATTTAGAATATAATTTTAAAATACTGTGACATATAAAATAATGTGACTAAGCTTATTACAGCTGTTAATAGCTTACTGGCAGAAATGTACTGCTTTTGTTGCTTTAAAAGCAGCGGTTGACTCTGGCTTTACTCAGTCAAGAATTTGTCCTTCTCCTTTACAATGTTAATGTATTATTTTATTTATAGTTAAGGCGTAGAGTATTAGAAATGATATTTTTGCCAAAAAAAAAAAAATAGGTGGGAAGAAATGCATTTGTGGCAACTGCTTCTATTACTGCTATTTTTCATCATCAAAATTACCTGGGAAAAATTACTTATCTTTAGTATGGAATGACTGGTAGATGAAGCTGAGGAATTTATATTTATTTATTTATTTATTTATTTATTTATTTATTTATTTATTATTTATTTTTATTTATTTTTAAAAATATATCTTTATTGACTTCAGAGAGAGGAAAGAAGAGGGAGAGAGAGAGATAGAAACATCAATGATGAGAGAGCCATTGATCGGCTGCAGCCCACAACCCGGGCATGTGCCCTAACCGGGAATCGAACCCCGATCGCCTGGATCCTAGGTCGATGCTCAACCACTGAGCCACGTTTGGCCGGGCGAAGCTGAGGAATTTAGATGCTGATCCTCAATGGAACATTAAAAGCTCCCACTTAGCAAATCTAATTGTACTGCCTGTTTCTACATGCCATTGATCGAGCCTGCTGTTTGTGAAGTTTTTCATTTTATCTAGTAAATCCGTGTTTCAGTTTCCTTCATTTTGAAATTACCTTCAACAATTGTTTAAGATTCAAGAGAATCCTTATTTATTTATTTATTATTTTTAAATTCTCACCCGGCGATATTTTTTCCATTGCTTTTTAGAGAGAGTGGAAGGGAGAGAGAGAGAGAGAGAGAAATGTTGATGTGAGAGAGACACATCAATTAGTTGCTTCCTGTATGCACTCTGGCCAGGGCCAGGGATCAAGCCTGCAACTGAGGTATGTGCTGCCCTTGACTGGAATCAAACCTGAGACCCTTCAGTCCTTAGGTCAATACTCCAACCACTGAGCCAAACTGGCCAGGGCTAGAAGAGAATCCTTTTAAGTCAAATCCATTGTTAATGGAAGTGAAATGCATCCAAAGCCCACATCCATCATAAATAATTCTAGGGGGTGTGAAAAGCATATAATCACTATTGCTCCCTCATGTAATATTTTAAAATTTCAAATTATGGGTGACTTTCAGGGGTTCTTAAATCCTGACTCAGGTATTTTTTATTAACTTTGAATTAAAATATACTCTTGCATTTCACTCGCATTAGTTTTCATGTAAAACTGCTAGTCTATTTAAGGTCTGGAAGATAAATTAGAATTGTAACAACCACTGAGATGAAAATGTGGGAAAAATAGCTCAAATACATTTCAAATATCTTATTGTATTTATCCTGCATAAGAATAACATCATTCTCTTAAAATGAGAAATTGAGAGAAATGCAGAAATGTATCTTAACTTTATAAAATATAGCTGAGGCTATTAACATGTCTGCATATCAGTGCTATGAAGAATTCCAAATTTATCTTTGCTAAGTGCTTTAGAATGTCAAGGAAAACACCATAAAACAGAAATCTTTCATTTTAATACTTCCAAACAATCAATAAAACATTTAAGTATTGCTATCTAAACTACTCAAAATTATGTACAGTGTTATTAGAAAATGATATCCAAAACCACTATTTTGTCAGCACTTCAATGTAGTCTGTAATTTTTTGTGTAAAGATTTGTATTTGAGCACAGCAAATTACTTTTTCCATTAGTGAGGCTCACCTCTGAAAGTAAATCCAGAACTTCTCATGTCTAATGTGGCAAATGGAACATATCTATCAAATTCAGAAACTGGAAATTTCAAATTGTCATCTTTCATACAGTCTAGGTGCTTAAAGTGTTCCCAGGACAGACTATTATAGTTACCCACAACAAAAGCTGGTTGCCCTGACCGGAAAAAGAACAAGTTCGTCTTAACAATGGGCACTCATCCACAGCATATGAGCAAACATTCATTCATGGGTTAGCATATTTTCTCACGGGAAGAAAAGGTGGCAAAGGCAGACACCTGCATTATGGTCAGCTTTGCAACCACTGAAATGCCATTACTGAATAGATAATGTGGCCAGATAATATTATTAATTACTAACTAATGCCTTGTAACTCACAGGCTCTCCAATTTGCACATTCTACTTCCAGTGTCTCTTGAAGAAGCCACATCAGAATCAGAGCACAGAAAATCAATTCCTGTTTTCAAGTTTCAAAAATTGACTTTTTGCATCAGAAATTGATAGTTTGAAAATTTAAAGCCACATGAATATTGGCTTTTAAGCTTCAAAAACCAAAGCCTGAAGAACTCACAACACAGTGTTTTTGCAAAAACGATAGACACAGATGAAATTTCATGGAAGAGAAATGGCTCCTTTCCTCACTCTATAATCTGACTCATGAATGAGGGTAACAAGAGGGCTGAGACACCAGTTCCTCTAAAAGTACTGCCTTGCAACCAAACTCTGGTTTCATCCTCAAGTAGATTCGGGAGTTTTAGAAAATAGGAGGCCTGTGTCTCAATTCCAAGGTGAAACACAGGAAACAGGGATGCCTTAGAGAAGTTTCCAATGCCTGGCATGGCATGGGAGCATTGGAGTGAACATGGTTGCTTGGCATGTTTAGACACAGATGACAGTGTTTCTGATTTCTCCGTATTTCCAGAGTGGTGCTGAAGGGAAGCCAAAGAATTCCAACCCTCTGGTCCCTTGGGATCTTCCATGCCTCAGGTACATGGAAAAAGCTGAGAGAGAGCTCATCAAAGGAGAGCTCACAATCAGGACATGGACAAAGATTCAATCCAACTGGACTGTACACTTCTAAGTCAGATAGGAACCTCAATGCCTCAGAGACAGTGAGAATGACAAGGGATAACCTAGGGCTGGATGTCCCTCCCCCCTAGCAGCTTGGCATTCTGAAAACTCCACTCAGAACTTAGATTTACTTCTGGCAAGATCTCTGAGACTGTTTCTTTCACTCAGTAGAACACATGTTCAAATGGAAAAAATATTTGACTGTACCATAAACAAAGACATATTTTTTGAACACTTGATTTCATAGCCAAAGATTCATAGCTGTGATTAGAGATAAATCCAGGTTTTGTGGAACCTGAAACTTAAGTAATTTGAGGGGCTCTTCTTTTTAAAAGAATCAAAATTATGCATATGTAATTAAGTATAGGGCCTTCGAAGTAAGAGGACCTGTAGCTCACATTTCAGGGGCTTCATGTTAAACCCACTGTGCCTATGACAGTAACATTATTCAAAGCATTTCTTGTATTCTCCCCATCTAATACTTAGCTTAAAAAATCTTTATTAATCATAAATGAATCCATTGTTCTACCTTACACGCAGAAAGTAGTGTCTGTGTAGGGAGAATGGCAGTGTGGTAAGAAGTTTAGTAGATAATCCAGTCTGCAATTGTACCCCTGAGCTTCTCAGTATGAAAATATACATTGCTATTTGGATTAGAAAGAAGTTGCAACACACCAAGCTATTCTTAGTCTTGTTTATTTGTTTTCATTGAGCTTTTAAGCCTAACTTAATCCTTTCTCTAATTTAGAATGTCTACTAAAAATTTTCAGGTGACATGTAAAAATGGCTGTGTCATTGTCCAGACTGAGCTAGATGGAAATTCAGATTTGGCAATTATCAAGAGTGACTGCCAACTGGCATACGCCCAACCTTAAAATACTGCTTCCTGTGCATAAAAAAGTGTTGCCTGAGGAGGAATGAGGGCAGCTCTGCCTGGCCCCTTGACAGCAGGGTCTTATTGCAGCCATCCCCAGTTTAGGTGGGAGCATTTAGATTATGAGAAGTTAATGATGAGGCCAAAATGAGACTCAGGTACTGAGACATTGAACCTATTCATCATGCATGAAGAAAAACTTGACATAATCTGTACAGATTTCTATAACATTGGAGTTTAGCCAAAACAAGGTGGAATTTTTGCTTGAGAATTATTTGCTTAAAATTTTTGGTTTCATTATTCAGATTTACTATGCTCCAAAAATTATCGAGAGTCAATCTTTAAAATTGAGTCTCATTATCTTTATAATAACATTTAAAGTTAACATTTAAAGGACACAATGTCCTTTTAGAGTCATTGGCATAATCTTTAGACCATGCACTCAGACTTAAGAGATAATCTAAGCACAGGA